AAAATGTATTCTCACTAGAACCTTTTAACTGTGATCACTTTTTCTTTTCGCTTCTTGTGATATATTTCTATTTCTACTTATTTTTCTTTTATTTGTAGCAATCTTTTTTTTTAACTAATTATACTGTTTTGCATATATTTTCATCAACACCTTTGTACATTTCCTGTAATTAGGTGAATGCCTGTTGGAAATAAAGTGCTATCAATCAATATAGTCTGTATACTAACCTGACTATTAATTCACCTTTTTTCCAGTTACTTTTAAATTACGGCATGCAAGTCAACGTTTTAATGGTACAACATTGTTGTCCTTTACAGTTGCAAATTTCAGTTTAGCTCTAGGAATATTTTCTTCTGTACTTTACCTTATGTTTATATGAGGATTGGGTAGTGTTTGTCCCTACCGAACTACTAGCGCTGCTAGTGAGTGATTTTTCGTACTTCAGGAAAAAGGTTCATTTAACGGTAATGATATATATAATATAGGCAGCATGTGCCGAACCTTCATGTCTTTCAGTATTAATGGAGGAAAGTAAACTATCGATGCTGCAGAGGAAGAAATTCAATTATTGTTTGAGAAACGGGGAACCCCTCCCTCCCATATCACACACATCCAGATCACGCGTCAACATACCTGAGGTCACTATTAGACCAGGAAGTTCCAAAAGAAGAACACGTGAGACCATCGTCCAATCTGGAGCCTACGAAAGAGAGGAGTTCCGACCGCATCATCCAGTGGTTGACAGAGAAAAGGAAAAGGAAAGGTTACAGAATAAAATGGCTTACAACGAGGAGATAAAAGTCCGCAAACCCAAAATTTTCCAGAAACTAGTGAGCAAAGAAGACAAAGAAGAAATCAATAGATTCGACCAAAGTAAGTCTAACTATAATATAATGTTATCCCAGATTATAGTATTGTTTCCAATTCCCTAAACAATATGTATGTCTCTTTCAGTTGTACAGGAAATAAAAGAGAGGGAAGAGTGGTTAAAAGAAATGGAAGCGCTAGGCCAGGGCAATAAATATAGACAAATAATTGAGTTACAAATACAAGAAAAAGTTCGAGAGATGAATAAAATGAAATTTGAAAACATAAAACAATAAAAAATTGATTATCTGTTTTAGTTTTTTTTTAATGAAGGCGAACATCAAATTTGAAACTTTTACATATGTAGTGTCACATAAATATGAATGTTGGCCGTGGTCTGCAGGTTTTTATTTCGAACTTTTCGTCTACTACTGCGGTAGACATCATCGAAGGTAATGTGGTGCTCGAGTTGTTGTTCTCGTCGTTTCGTCCACCTCAATGAGGAATGTTCCTCAATTTGGGTTATTACAGCAAATGCAAGCTTGAACAAAATAAAGTTGAGTTTAATTCATGAGCTTTTCAAATTCACTTCGAAAAGTATTCAAATTGAAGTTTCAAATGTTGGGTTTTAATTTTTAAAGGGATTTGTTTCTAATTCACATATTGGCAAAAGCGTCTATATCAACTTAAAATCATTATATTCTACTTTAAAAAAGGAAAATTATCTTCATAAATCAAGAATTAAGGCAAAATATAAATTACTGTTCAATACCACCTCCACAAGCCACATAAACAAAAGTTGTTTTGTTATTTATTTATATAGAGGAAGATAGGTTAGGTGCACAAAATGTCATATGTCACAGAATGTCTCGGAACATAAGTCAACAGAACAGCACGCCTCTGAAATATGTCATCTTTGTTTGTCTCATACAGGTAATAGGTTAATTGTCCTTTATTAGCTATAACCTATGTTGCCAAATAGTGAAATAGAAACGAATCCCTTTAAATGTTGAATGCATTTTAGAGCTCTTTTATGAAGCCTACTTGATACCAGTAAATTTTACAGCATTCGGAACGACGGGAACAACTTCAGCACCAACTCGCGTTTGATAATGTCTACTGCAGTAGTAGATCAAATGCAGGCATAGAAAGATGTAGACCACGGCGAAAAAAAAAACCGGAAAATAGTTTTCACACAAATATAATTTTTTCTCAAATATACAAGCTGTTTTCAGTTTCCTTTTTCATGAACATTTGAAAGAAACGGTATAGTTTCTATACAACTTAGATGTTTTGAGGAAATTCGTTTACATTTCATTAAAGCGGTAAATTGTTAACATATTAGAGTTATTGACTATCTAAATGCACGTGGTCACCCTGTATATAGTGACTGAATAAGGAATATCCTGTTAGATTCATTCATAGTTTATTATTCAATTAGACTCAAATGGGTCATGAAGAAATATATTTATTCAATATACATTGCCACAGCGACATGACACATATAAGTTTATTATTTCTAGGTTTATTATCTGTTATTATTGATACACGTTTATGCTGTGAATATTTTCCCTGGTGAGTAAATTTTGATTGAGAAATATCTCAAGATATTGATGAGGGAAATATTTGTCAGACTTCTAAGTAACTTGAATGTGAAGGGATATCCTATTTCAAGCAAATTATTCAACTTCCATTTTGTTCAAGTTATTTATTTCTCACAAATGTGTGTACAGGAACCCATTGAGAGACAAAAATAACCACTTTGCAATATTGGTATTGGCCAGAGGAGGATCTAAAGGAATCAAACTGAAAAATCTTTCGCGAGTGGGAGGTAATTCTTTGTTGGCCATATCGGTGCGAGAAGTGAATAAACTTCGAGGTATTGACTCAGTTTGGGTTTCAACAGATCATGAAAAAATTGCAGAATTAGCGGAAAACGGTCAGTATCATTTATAACAGAGCATGTAGTTTCATTATTTACTTCCTGTACTGGGTGCAGTTTTTTTAAATCCGATATTGCTGTACTGATAGATATCTACTTTTTTATTCTCTATCAGAAGTTATTAATCAATAATTTTGTAATAGAAAATGTGAATGTTCACTGGAGAGCTCCTGAATCAGCCACTGATGAAGCGAGTTCTTTGTTAGGAATAATAGAATTCCTGAAACACCACCCAGAAGTAGATATTTTGGGTTTGGTACAGTGTACTTCTCCTTTTATAAAATCATCTTACTTGCAACAAGCCGTCAACCATATGCAAAATGGAAAGGAATGCACTTTCGCCGTGACTAGGTGAGTTTCAATAGTAGCACTGAAATAAGACCTGAAAATCTTCATTTTTCAGGTCATACAAACTGAGATGGCAGAAATTAGGCGACAGATTAATTCCTCTTAATTTTGACCTGAAGAAAAGGCCGCAAAGGCAAGATTTTGATGGAGAACTGGTTGAAAATGGGATGTTCTATTTTTTTTCTCGAAGGTTGATTCAACAAGGTGTTCTTCAATCAAACAAGTGAGTACGTTTTGGAATATTTTATATTTCCAGGTGCAATCAATATGAACAGTTATGCAAACATTTAAACGGAAAATAAATAACATTTTCTGACCGTCATGCCATTGTTTTCCATTATTTTGAGAATAACTTCCGTAATTTGTGTTACAAAAAAGTTATAAAGCATTAGATTAGAAAATATGTAACACTCAGAATCTGAGTGGCGTCAGTGCCTCTTTTCCATATTTAAAACTAGAGAGTAACCATAAAATCCGGCAACCATGGACTATAGATCATAAGCGCGACAAATTCGAGCATATGCGCATGAAATGTAATGTCAAAAAAAAAAAGACAAAATTATTCATAGAAGTAACAAAAGTGGTTAAAATAGAGTTCCAGAAGTTCATTACCTTTCCATTTTAACTGTTTTCAAGTTGAATAATATCCTTAAAGTATTTTTTTTCAATACTTCCCGGTGAAAATGACGTAAATATACCAGCTTGTCTTCTTCTTCTCTTTTTTTATGATCTTTGCATCGACAAAAATGTCGGTGGGTCTTTGCTTCCCTTCGGGTCTGCCTAGTCAGTGTGAATATTTGCTTATCAAATTCGATGTTGTCAGTGGAAATGTCAAAATATATAAATAACTGTATATACTAAATCGGGGTGTGTTCTTGAGACGGGTGGTTCTGATGTAATATAAAAGTAATTTGGAATTCAGGAAAACCCTCTTCTTGAGTCAGTTCTGTTTCTGAAATGTTACAAATTTAAGCGAACACAGTGACTCCTTTACAATTAATAATTGATGATTATATTGCTCTCTCGGTTTCTGTATTTTGTAGAATCAACCTATCAGTATATATTTATAACAAGCAATTTTTGTAGAGAGCTGAAGTAACAGCGAATTTTCTTCAACGATAATTCGATGTTTTCTTTGCCAATTCCTGAACATTCATTTGATAATACATTATGAATACATTATTCATTTCTAGATTTCTATAAACTTTTTGTACTTTCAACTGAACGTCAATTCTTCGAATTCATTGTAAATAATTTCATTCGGTTACCAGTAACTGTATCTGATTTTTCATATGTTTCTTTATGAATTGAGACAAATCTGTCTCTCTTCTATACATACTTTCACGGGAAGTGTTCAAGTGACTTTGCACATTTGATTCCACCAAGAGCGGTACATTTCAGAAATTCGCCAAGGACCGTTGCTGCTCATCGTTTTGAGGTTCAACTCAGTACCCCTCGAACTTCACTGTTCAAGAAGTCTTTCATTTGGAGAACTGGAGAGGAATGAACTTCCTGAGAACATTTTTCCAAATGGATTTAATTTCCAGCGATTCAAATCCGATGTGAATCATTATTTTCGCTCAGGCACCGCTCTTAGAGCGCCTCAAGGATTCTCCTGTAGTACTCGTCTTTTATCCTTGAAAAATAAGTGGAAAGCTAATGCGACATATCTAATAAAACAATATTCATTTCGTGATATAAATTTAATACAAGCTCTTCATACTTTTACGATAGCTTTCCCTACATTACCGCCTCGTAACATATCCGCAAACGCATGAAACATGTTTTCAAAGCCTTCCGTGACCGTTTCACGGTATTTCAATTTTCCTTCCTCGATCCATTTTCTGTTTTGTTCGATTCCTTCGAACCATTGATCCAACCATCTGTGAACGATGAATCCTTCCATCTTCAATTGATTGAATGTCAGTGGATATTGAACCAAACTTGCTAAAAATAAAGAACTGTAAACATCCAAACTTCCTGCCAATGTATCTTCAATGAAACTATTATATGTATGTAGTGATCTGTTCACAAAATGAGGTGAATGTTCAAATTTCGCGGGCTAAGTACATTCGATTAGCGATTTTTTAATGTTGGTACATTCGTCTCGAAGCTATGTTCACAGTTTAAGCTGTTGAGTACCTATGTTTAGTTTGTTGGTGAGAGCATAAAAGTTAGAAGTGTTTTGCCAACGGCCATCTAGATTTTCACAAAAGGATCATAACTGGTGACGAATCAGGGGTATATGGTTATGACATCGAAACCAAAGTCTAATCGTCCCAATAGAAGACCCCAGTTCGATTAATTGTCAAAGTTTTGCTCACTGTTTTCTTCGATTACCACATGACCGTACGGTCAATAAGGAGTATTATCTTGAAGTTATGCGCCGCTTGCGAGAAGCAATACGAAGAAAACGTCCGGTTTTGTTTCTAATTTTATGGCCAAACACCATAGTCATGCCTCAGACACCGTATTCATCAGATTTGCCCCCATGCAAATTTTTCGTGTTCCCAATATTAAAAAAAATAATGAAAGGACGGCGGTTAGCGACAATTATGGCAATGAAAACCGAATCCCTGAGAGAACTCAAGGAAATGAATATTTTTTGACAAAAATGAAAAATCACCTGATTTTTTCAACAGACCTCGTACCGTAACTGAACTAAATGTATTTGATATAAACTTTATTTGACTTACCCTTTGGGATTTTACTTTCATTGTATCCAGAGATGGCGCCACATACTGCCACTCGTCCAAATGTGTTCATGTATAACATTATAGTTGTGCTTATCTCACCACCAACCTGAAATTCAGAATGAGTGAATGAGGTTGTCAATGAAAATATTTTCATTATTTCTGTCATTGTGTAAACATTCTATCAAATCTGGGGAAACAATTTGACAGCTTCTTCAATCGAGTGCAAAGAATTCATGGAATTGTTATACCTACCAAGGCTGATTGATACTCCAAAAGTATAAAATTATTAATCTGGAACAAAAAAATATGACCAATATGCATAGAAATACAATTTGCTATTATTCTGTCAAAAACCCTGGAAGCGGGAAATGATTTGACCCAACTTTGTACGCATGTTGATAGATAGTGCAAGAATCGAAATCAGTAGCGCTTTTTTTATTCAGTTCTTTACATTATCGATCATAATGTAAAAAAAAAATTTTCACCCAATGTCAATTTATTCCTAAATGAAGAGAACATCGAAAATTGAAGTGTCAACTTGACATTGTCAAGCTGTGGCATTTGGTTGAACTCAGCACCTATGTGAATGAGGTTAGAAGTTTATTGGATCTTTTTATTATTTCTTTGTCAAGAGTCCGTAGGTGTCGAGTTTTTGAAAAGTATTTTACTTGGAGAAGAAATTCAAGTGATAACTCCAGAGATATTATATGCACCTTAAATTTCACATATTCAAATAGCGAGAAGTTTTCGTTGAACACGACTGAAGAAGCTGTTTTATAACGAAATACATGTGACGGTTTTGTAAACTGTTTAGTAAAACTTTAATGAAATGAATAAAAACACTTTCGTCTAATTTCCACCAGTTATTTTATTTGTAAAAAAGTGTTTATATTCATTTCATTAAAGTGATCACGAATTTCCACAAAATGAACGAGTCATCAATCACACAGATTATTCAGTGAAAATTTCACTTTGAAGTGTTACTCAAATAAGTTATCATGGATTTTCATCGAGTATCGGGCATTTTCATACCATATCAACTCAAGTACTAACGTTGTCAAAATAACAATCTATCCCATTGGGGGCGTATTCTTTAATTTTCTTCCTGACGTCATCAGTTTTGTAGTTGATGAAATGATCGAAACCTAGATCGTTCACGAGCCATTCTCCTTTTTCGTCCGAACCTGCCACGCCGATCGCTCTACACCCCTTGATTTTCGCTATCTGACCTACCAAGCTACCTACTGCGCCTGCTGCTCCGGTAACGATAACTGTTTCACCCGGCTTTGGTTGACACACATTGAGTAGTCCAAAATTTGCGGTATTTCTGAAAAAAAGCATATAAATGGTGAACTAGCAAGTAGAAAGGCACAAGTCGCAATACCATCAATATCAATGAAGGGTTTAATATCAACCAGGAAAGTAACAATTGCTAAATAAGATCCTTGCATTTTCTAGAAAACATAACAGTCCAGGTGGTGGTCACCTAATATACAATCAAGTTGTAGCAACAGGCGGTTTGAGTTGTTGTATTTGCTGTTTTTTTTTTTCAAAAGTAAACGTTTACTTACCCCGGCATTCCTAAGATTCCTAAAGCCAAAGACTTTGGCAAATTTCCCAAATTATCTGGAATCAACCATGCACCGGGAAATCCGTTGGGCAATATTTTTCCGGACGATACTGTATGTGTTCTCCAGCCGAATTCGCCGACAACATATTTACCTTCCGGGAAATTTGGGTTCTTGCTGTCTATGATCCTACACAAGAAATTCAAATACTTGTATTTGCATCAATGAGGTTGAAAAGCTGTTGTTCCAGGGAATGTATATAAAATAATTAAAAATGTAGTTTAATCACTTAATGCTTTCCTAGTAACTCAACAGTTACCAGAAACTTTTGTTTATCCTTACTAATATCAAAATGCAAGTACTTGTGAAGCACTACATAAATTGAATTTGAATACTGTCACTTACTTAGCAACTTGCGATCCCATAAAAGTTTTCCCAGTCTTTACTCTAGGGGCATAGGCTCGCATATATGGATCGACACTCAAGAACTGTGCTTCAGCCAAGAATTCTGTGAAAAATATTATTATATTCTGTTTTTGGGAATACCTCACGTAGTGGGCGACATCTAGATCTGATAATTGGACATCAGACTTGGAGAAAACATTGATTATCGTAAATCTAGTCACAAATTGACCGTTACAACCATAGATATGTTTTATATACTGAGTATCAGTACTTTACAACCCGATTGAATTCAATTCAACCGTAATTATTTTTCAATGAAAAATTCGAAGACTCCATAGTATGTCTTAGTATGTCAATCGAATACATTTAATGCTGATTAGTTTGATTACCCCGCGTTCTATGTATATTTATAAAATTTATTATAACTTGGTAATCTTCTTTGAAAAGAAGACCATACAAAAGTTTGAGGTAAATGTCACATTGTTCGATAATCATGGATACTTCAAACATAATGAATTTAATTTATCTTATTTATTATTCACGACATCAGAGACCCAAAGTACCAAAGTCCCTTGTAGCAAAAATGATTCTTTTCCTACAGATTGATATTCGAATTGATACACCTAGATGTCGCCCACTAAATGGTTCTCCCTTTGAATTTCATGAATCGTGGCTAATGATTTTTGTAGCAGTGGCCACCAGATTTAACATAACCAAAGAAACTTTAACCACACTTAATTTCAGCGGGAAAGTTTTAACGTCCCAAAATACGTACATTACTTGTTATTGATAATCGTTTATTATCATTATTACATCTATTTGTTTTATCAGTTTTATATGTAGTTATTATAATTCTATTCACCATAAGGTACGTTGGATAATAACAGCACAACGATAATTTTCAAAATTATTAGGTTTTTTATTTTCAGGTGCTAAAAATGCCAAGCCCAAACAAAATGAAAACTTCGCAATTTCTGGAAAAAGTATCAAAAAGTGAGGCGGAACTTCAGCGCGAAAAAAATATCAAGGAACGAGACGCATTTCTTGCATCTTTCATGACCGATCCTGAGTTTGCAGAAGCTGTTGAATCTATAGGATTGTTCGAAACCACGAAAACGAAAAAAAAACTTCCTAGGAGAAAATCCAGGGATAGTACTTTCAAGTTTTTCGGTAACATACCGACCGAAAAACGTAAATCATTGCGGCTCCAGGATAAAGAACCTGTGTATACTAAAGAAGATTTAGTTGATGAATCTGCATTCAAGCGGAGGAGATACAGCAATTATGATTACGAAGACCTTGAAGAAGTCATATACAGACCTAAAAAGTCCCGAGTTCATACAAAACATTCAGGGAGACCTCCCATTATACCAGTTTCTGAGGTTACTGAGGAAATGATAAACAAAATCGCTAGGAAGGTATCAGTGAAGAAATACTCGGAAATAGGGACCAGCTGTCATCAGTGCCGGCAGAAAACTCAAGATCAGAAAACTTGCTGTAGGAATATTGAGTGTGTTGGAGTAAGAGGGCAATTTTGTGGAGTATGTCTGGAAAACAGGTAAGTTCAAATAATATTTACTGCTTCCTCTTTTAGTCTCACCGAAACATTCTTGAAAATCTTCAGTTTTCAATAGAACAGTCAAAAAAAGCTTACAATGATTCACTTAGCATTGGAAAGTTGGTACGGATTGTAAATACTCCATTGAAATTAAAATGTCAAAAGCCTCCTCTAATCCTGTATTGTGTTAAAAAATAAATAATTGTAAATTGAAATCTCTGTTCGTGACTACAAACCAAGGTGCTTTCTGGGATATCTCCAACTGCTTAAAGTGTTTTCTTGATTTTATAAGAAGAGTTTTTCAGGTATGGCGAAGACGCAGCGGAAGCTTTAAGGGATCCTGACTGGACGTGCCCAGTATGTAGAGGGATATGCAACTGTTCATTTTGTCGAGCCAAAGAAGGAAAAAGGCCGACTGGTATATTGACACCATTAGCCCATCAAGCGGGACATAAATCAGTGAAAGAGTTCTTGGACAGTTTGAAAGGAAAAGGTTAGTTGCATCTCCTTTTTTCTTTCTCAATGAGGCTAGCTCTGATGGTTTCAAATTGTTTTAAAGAGTACCATGAAATTTATGGAATTTCTGTGTTTTTCAGGAGATTATGTTGACGAACATGATGATCCGAATAACTTACTGGGGTTCACGAAGGAACTGAAATATGCCCAGATGGGAGGCGGAATAAAACATTCGATTGATTGCCAGGATGATCTTAAAGAAAAGCTAATGAAATGCATAATCAATCTGGAAAACGATTTTGAATTATTGACAAGGCGGAAAAAATCTGTTTTGATTGGATTTTCACAGAACCAACCTGTTTGCAGGACTTTGTTGGATTAAGAGATCATATGTACATTTTTTACCTAGCTGTTTAATGTGTTTGAGCATTTAAGAGTATTTTTTCTGTTCAAATCTTTTGTACTTTTTTTATTGAATTTTGATAATATAAGTGTAACAAATGTTATTCTTGGTCAAATTCTTTGCAACCTTTCAAACCTCTGATGTCTTCTTCAAATATGTGATGGAAAACGAAATCGAGCCATTTACCAGGTCTAACCCACTTCAAGCAACAATGATAAGGACATTGACATACTTTAGTGGTCCATCCAATAACACTGCTCAAAAAAGGAACACATCTTCAGTGTCGGATAGATCAGGAATGTGTGAGTTGACTGTGGTTCTTGGCCAAAGCTTTGTATTAGTCGAACAGGAAAAACCTTTTTCAAAAGAATGAAAGAACATTGGAGTAGTTTCTTACATGTGAAGCCATCTTGCGACAGAGGGGTGTGAGTTTAACCAAGAATATGGTGTTCCATTTTGAAAAGAAATGCTTTTGGAATGCTTGGAAATTGATAGACTTGAGAATTCTGAAAATTTAATGAATGACCAAATAGAATTGAATCCTATGTGAAAGCTATTGGAATTGACCGATACTTGATGATCGTCTATAAGTAACGTATTCAAAAATCACTTTATTGTGGCCATAACATCTTCATATCCATTTTTGCAGGTTATGACTACTTCTGCGGTATACAGAACAAAAGGCAATGTGTTGAGGTTGCAGTGCCTGAGTTGTTGTTCCAAATGCAGTAATTCAACCCTCCATCGGTCGCGTTGTTAGGAAAAATCCTACATTTTTTTTTAATATTGCCCCTATTCGTGATTACACTTCATTAAAATTTATTTCCTTCTAAAAGGCATATTTGGAATGTGCAGCTGTGATTCAAGGTCATGATGAGCCCTAAACTACACCACAATTAAAAAAGGATCGTCTTCTGAATAGACTGCACGTGGTGAACCGACTCAAAGGCATGCAAAGGGCAAAGCACAAACTACTTAAATAGTAGGTGGTTTATGGGGCAAAGATGCAACAGTCTGTTGAGAAGGTTATCAGTTATCGTCTTTTTCTTCTTCTTCTCTTTTTTATGGTCTTTGCTTCCCTTTTAAGGGAAGCAAAGACCTGATACGATAACCGATCTAGTAGACTAGATCGGTTATCGTATCAGTATTTTGGTATGCGCATGGTATAATATTCATCGACTATCTTCAAAAAGAAACACCATCAACAGCGACTTATACAGTGTTATTGGGGCGTTTGAAGGGCGAAATCGCAAAAAACCACCTCATTTGAAGAAAAAAATAAGTACTGTTTTATCAAGACAGCATCAATGATTGGTAATAGTCGAAACTGTGGCGTATTACTTCGACCGTTGTCTAAGTATTTATCGACTATTACGACTATACTATTTGTTAGTTTTACAGTAACATCACGATTTTTTTGAATATCTGGAGATATACACTTCCCATAAGCTTGTGACAAGTGATTCATTGTTTTCAGTTCTAATCAATAAGGCCAATTGATTTGATAGTTATTTTGATTTCGACGAATTAAAAAAAATATTTCAACCTGAGTTTCCATTTTGAGGTTAATATTCAGTTTCCATTATCTATAGATCTTGATAAAATCCACAAGAAAAATGAGATGATTCATTTATTTCATGGAACAGATGACTGTGAAAGTCAGAATTTGTATTTATATTATATTATAATTATATTATATTGCGACAAATTGCATATCATTGCTTTTAGATTATAAGATTGAGAAAATAACCATGAACCATTTTCAAGATTCGATGTTTTCAATGGTTTAATAAACCGAAATCGGTTTATGAATTTCTACAAAATAAATAGGTCATCAATTGAGCATGCTTTTAGGGTATGAGTAGTTATAAATTCAAAATTCTGTAACGAAACTGTTACTTTCTCGATAATTTTATGAACATCCGTGTCTCATCGGTGAATGTTAAGCAGGAAATGATTGTCATAGTTTTTACAATAAACAACGTACAGACGGTCACAAAAAGAACAAGCATGAAAGCAAGCAAGAAAAACCCAACTGCAATAATACATTCGATTCCAGTAATGATGAATTATCAATAGTAATAATAGGCAAATTACTTCCTAGTTTCTGATCATCAACAATAATTGAAACCATCCTTAGAATACATCAAACCTCCCTTCTCTTGTCTAAGCATCAAATACTTAAATTTTGACATCTGAAGCGTCTCGCTGAAAAAATTGAGAGAAGTACCAATCCACTTCTCCACTAGATCACAGAATACTGAACGAAAACGATTTCTGTGACCAGATACTGCCAGCAAGGTTTAAACATTCATTTTTAATTTTTTATCATGAAAAACTTGAATATTCATTTTTAATTCCAAGTCGTTTATGTGTTCCCTATCATTAGCCTTTTTCTATATATTTTTTTCACACTATAGACTGTGTTTACTTCATTTTATAGATCGATTGAGCCCAGTGAACTAGTATAGATAGATAGATTTTATTAAAGATATAAATTTCATTGATTGACGTAAACCGAAATATCAACGTTGGTGTTGATATAGACATTTCTAAAAACCTAACCAACAAACGACAAATACCATACTTTCTCGGAATATCTAGATAGTTCATAAGTTGAATTGCTTTTATGCTTTTTTTCCATTTTCTCCGTAGCATATTTTATTTTATTATGTACCTTTATCAGGGGCTTTCGACAATGAAAATAATTTCAAAACAAATGAGTACTCACGTCCATCTTTGAGACCTGGTAGCGTTTCTTCAATCAAATTTAAATCGCTTTCTTTCGGAAATCCATCGAATTGTTTTTGGAAAATGAAGGCTTTTGCAGTGAGGGTTCTTTTATTTATTTTAGTCAACTGCAATTTTGAAATAATTATACGAGATTTGTTCATCTTACTCACTGTAATATTGTTGGGACGTAGTACGTGAATGAAGTTGAAATAATTTTTTATCTTTTCGAGAATTGTGAGGATAAGCAAATAATGGTATGAACTCGATGCCCCTTCTTGCTAAGTAGGATAAGGAGGTCGAAAAAGTAAATAATAAAGAAATACTTGAGTTAGATTTTTAGAGATTTAAATTAATTTAATATATCATTGATGATGAATGACAAACAATCCCCTTTCCCTAAATGATGATCCATATGTATATGTGATCTCAATAAATTAATATTATGATTAACATCTATTTTATGACGTGAAAGAAATGCGGATGACTAATAAGAGGTCAACAGTGTTGCCAAATGAAATTTTTTGAATTCTTCAGATAATCAGATGAAAAGCCCATCCTTAGATTTATTCAAATCCAAAAATGTTCAACTTAGTAACACATTTTATGCTATACAGACACAAAATAAAACTTTGGTATTGTTTTATCATTTCTTGTTTTTGTTTTCCTGCAATAGATAAACAATCCAGGTTAGGCATCTGAGGTATTTTGATGATTATGAATAAGTATCCCGTTCGTGGTTAAATTAAACAACATTTTGTTAATACCCAGTTCAGAATCAACAGATTTTTGTCCAGCCCGAAAAATTATTTTTCTAGTGTCTTTTCCAATTTAATAATAGTCTTTTGGTGTTCCACATAATTAACATAAACTCAACTTTTTTATCATTTTCATTACCACATACATACATATCGCATATTGTTGTGCAAGATTCTGATCTTTTTGGGATACAATACCATCGAACACTTCACCCCGACCCCTGTTTTTTTTTATAAACACATTATACTCATAATCTTATAGAATAAATAATGATGGATTGGGAGGTAGCCCGTATTCGGAAGCATGCTCTTTTATAAATTGTCAATGCCCTTGATGATTTCAATTTTTCTTTAGATTTTTTATGATGTGAACAACAAAATCATTTCTTTAAGTTACAACGAAAATAATGAAATCTGAAGAAATTTATTTCATTCTGGCAACGCTGATCTTCAATAATATAATGTGTGCCAACACTTAAAAATGAACCTCCTAACATTTATTTGAAATATCTCTCTAAATACTACAAAAACATGCCATCTGCCAACAAAGCAAAATAGAAATGTGTAAAGTGGGGGTATTTTAATTTGTTTTGTATTTATTTGTTTATTTATCATTTCTACTTGATTGTCCCCTCGAGAGATTGAAATCCGGTTATCATATCGAACGCCCACTTTGTATAATGTTATATCACAATTGAATTAATATTTATTTTCAGCTGCGAGTTCGTGGAAATTCAACAATATGATGACTTAGAAATTGATAATCACTTCGATTTGAGAATTGCTAACATGCTGTGGGAATTACGAGAAGATGACAACAGACTTTAGTTCAGGTAAGTTGGCAATTTGTTGTATTTAAATTTAATTCTTCACCACGATTTGTTGTTGGTCCTAAAATTTTCATGTTTGTTGAGTTATAATACATCTCTGCATAATTTCTTGTTTACCTTCACTGGTATTGAGGTTTTTCACAAGTATAATATAATGGTTATGTTCATAGATTATTTTTATATCAATAAATTTGTTCTGCCTGAAAAGTATTTCTATTATTTTTTAATTAGGACAGTGAAAGAGAAGTGATATATTTTCAAACCCTCTTCTGAGAGAATTGAGATAAATATAGTCTAATAATGAAGTTTACTCTTTATCCAAAAAAATAGTGTATTATTATATAAAAACATGATGGTTTGCTTTGAAATTTTTGTGTAGATTTTTTACGTAATTTTTTGTTTTTGTACTTCGAGAATAGAATGATAAAACTCTGGATTTTCTTAGAATAACCTACTGATTGGCCTAATATCACAATTATTTATATTACTCGATTACTTTCTTTTTAATATATTTTGTTTTCATTTACTGATTACAAAAAACTGTAAATCCAAAAAAAAACTATAAAGTCATGTATTTGTAATGATGGTTATAAGTACAGTTCAAAATTTTTTGAGACATTACTAATTGCCACATCATATTTCTGCTTATGACACCGATGGCATGGAAAAATGCTGAACAATTTGCAAATATGTATAGGTCTTGCACAAAGGATTCTCTCATAGATAAAATATAAGAAAAAATCAATCCAAAATAACTACTTTCAAAGTCAAACCGAAATGACCTTTTCCCATTCACAGCTTGTTTTGTGAATCTTGGAAATACAAAAAAGTCGCAGGGAAGCAATTCTGGTGAATACGGTGGCTGAGACATGATTAAGGTGTTGGCTTTTGGCTAAAAAGTCACGAACAAATAATGACGAGGGAGCAGGTGCATTATTCTGATATAAAAGCCATGAATTGTTTTTTCAGAATACTTGACGTTTTCTTTGTATTGCTTCTCGCAAGCAGCATAACTTTAAGATATGTACCACTACCAGTACAAACCTGCTCATTTATCAACACTTCATAATGAATGCCTGCGAAAATAGACACCAGCTTGATTCTGTTTACACAGATATTTTAAAGGCTATCGACTGGGTAAATCACAATTTGTTGTTGCATAAACTAAACGCTTTGGGTATTCAGACAAACATTCTGAAGTAGATTGAAGGCTATCTTGCCTGCAGAGTCGCATAGGTAAAATATGGTAACTCAGTATCTTCCTCACTCGCAGTTCCATCTGGTATACCGCAGGGATCTCCTTTAGGACCATTACTTTTTCAACATATTTGTAAATTACTTGAATGATGTTATTCTCTGTAGTGAATTTCTTCTGTTTGCTGATGATCTGAAGATATTTTGAGTTATTCATGGCTCATCTGATACTGAATTATTGCAATATGGTTTATCTAACGTTGTAAGCTGGTGTGATATAAACTTATTGCAATTGAATATAGACAAATGTTATAAATTAACTTTTTTCCTTGAACTAAAAAAAATATCCCATATAAATGTCAAGTGAATACAGTTTATAGTGCATTTTACTCATATTCACTCTGTAAAGTAAAAAAATGGGAAGTGTTTTTGGAATATGTATACCAAGTTGAAAGACATTGTTGCAAAAAGAGATAATTTCGGTTGGTTTTTGTGTTTTCAAGTGTTTTTACTTCAATTCTGGAAACTAGTTTAGATTGACCTTTGACTGAGAAATAGGCAAATTGAAGTGAAATATACAAAATGCGTTTGGTAGAAAGGTCTAGTTATTTCTATCGTGGTGAGATTTGAAAATGATTTGAAAATATTTGTAATTTTCAGGACTGGTTAACTTTGATATTTTTTAAACATTCATTACATACTATGAAGTGATTTTCCTGTATTATATGAGATATAGATTTTGACAAAAAATAACAATGACCTAAACCTGGAATTATCTAATAGTGTCTGATAACCTCCAGGTTATCACATTCACTAGTACTTTGTTGATGAAAATGTTCTCAAATCGAGAATTTCAACATATTTAATTTGTTTTATGAATATCATGTCATTCGTTTTGTTTCATAACTCTTTAAATTATTCTAATCACTATACATGAATAGATAAATAATGATAGTAGAAATGTATAGAGTAAAGAGTTGACTCTACAGGGGCATGAAAAAAGTACCTCTGTACGTTCTCCAACAGGTAGCATAAAAAATAAAACTTATTTTTTCTTTGTAAATCTATCAATCATTTGGTCCTTGGATGGAAACAAATTAGAGACATTTTAACAAAAAAAATGTTGGTTGAAGTTGACTTTGTTTGTGTTCCCCTAAACTGTTTTGTAACTGGAAGTTTCTCTTGTTTTGAGCATAAATTATTTCCTTGGAATGTGGTTCTTTTACTTTTCATACAATCCTCAAAATGATGAAAATAACTTTTTTTTTATGAAGATGGATAGATGATGGATTTGAAAACCATTAAAAAAAAGAATAGACGGCCAACACTCAGGCTTAATTATGTATAACACCCTGTTCAATCATCTTATGATTAATAAGGTATGGCAAATAAAAGGTTTTGGCTTTCTACTTTTCCATCTTTATACAAATAAATAAATATGAAAATCTTCCAAAGAAATGTTTACCAGTGAAGATGACAGTGTNAGTTCTAACCTTTGGTATTCTGGTTGTTTGGCTTTTTGGTCGAGTATTGTATGGATGGTCTATTTGGGACAGTTCATACTTGTGTTGGTGATGGTAAGATGCAAGATTAAGGAAGTACAGTTGATGGATTGTATCTATTTGTATCTATCTATGTATCCATAGCATTTATCAAATTTCAGCGATGTTATTTGGTGATAATGGTGGAAACATCAGAAATTTGAAAAGACACGGTGGCTGGAAGTCTACCAATGTCGCTGAAGGATATATAAAAAATGCACTTATAAACTAAATCGAAATTACCTAGACCATTCAAAAATTATCAGATGAAAACAATCAATCTGAAACAGAAACTTTACCTTCTTGTTTGCATTTCAATAGAAGACATTTGAATATACCAAGCATTTGAAACAAATGGAATCCCTTCAATATTAGCAATTGCTCGAATTTCCATACAAATATTAATATTCAATTCAAATTAGAATTAAAACGTTCGAAATTCAGTTCTATGAAGAAATGTGTCTCATTGAATTGTTATTCTACACGGTTGCCGTAAAAATAGTGTACGCAATACGCCTGAAAACATTTTTTTGGATTCGCAGATTTTAAAACAAGGCTTAACTGAAAAACTGTATTTTTATAATTATTTTTTTCTGAATTGAAGGGGTTGTTATATTTTTAGGAGTGATTAATTTTTGGGAAAGAAAGTTTTTGGCTTTCTACTACTGCATCTTGATACAAAAAAAAGGGGGAATCTTCCAAAGAAAGGAAGAAAGTAATCAATTTGAAAATAAGTAACTCTTTTATCGATATGCCAATAAATGCATGTTTCCACGGAACTAAGTAAATGTTATCTTCCGAATTTGAATGGTAGATAAATATACTACACTGTCCAAGAAAATTATATTATTGACAGAGCAACACAATACAATTTTTATAAACTATATCTGAAAATGTATTCTTGTTACAGCTGCTGTTCCCCAATTCTACGGGCAAGCTTACGATATCTGCTCTAGCAATGGAAGTATCCATCCGGAAGTGTTCCACTGCCTTCTTTCGCAATGTAAATTATCGACTTCGCAGACACAAAATATATTAAGTATATGCAACTTGAAGGACACATCGGAGGAACCGATAACCAGAACGAATTTTTACAAAACGCTGGCGCTGATAGCATGGGGACAGCAGGGAAAACAATTATCGGACAAACTCCTAAGCAACTGTTTCCAAAAAGGTAATTTCAATATTCCGGTGTGTTCGCACTGGAACATGTTGAGACTATGCCACTTTTCGTTTCTTAAATATTATTCTCACGAATATAAAGCTATTGAACGAAGAAAAATCAGGATACGCCCATCTATAGAGGAATCTAGCAATACAATAAACTTCCTGTAGATTTCACAAACATTGCCTGGATTCAAAAAAGCTTCAAAAAAATTGTATTCGAACATGCAGATAACTGTTTAGTCACTTGTAAAAAAGTTAACCAAGCGTACTATGCTCTCTCCAGAATAAAACATTTAATGCCCTTGCATGCCTTGCTGGACGTATATTATAGCTTGGTCTACAGCCATTTAAGCTACAATGTGGTTCTTTGGGGATATGCCACCAACAAAGATAGGGTTTTTATTTCCCAAAAAAAATTATCAGAAAATTATTTGATATCCCATGGAGAGAATCATGCAAACAGCACTTCATATCATATCAAATCATGCCATTCCCTTGTATTTACATATTTAAATGCTTACTATACATCCACGATAATTTAACAAAATATAACACAAATTCTTCTTACCACAGTTATTCAACCAGAAATGGAAAATTGTTAAGTATTCCTAGACACAGATCCTCTAAATTTGAACAGTCACCCAAATATATGGGAATAAAATTATTCAATCACCTACCTGATCACTTTAAAACCTTGAGTTTGATGTCATTTAAAAGAGAAGTTAAAAATTTGCTCCTGTCTAAGGCTTATTACAGTGTCAGTGAATTACTATTATTCTACGTTATTTTTATAGAGTATCCTACTCCGGAAATCGACATGGCTCCAATAAAGCATCTCAAAGCGCAACTCCTAGCGAAAAACAAACCAATAGGATTTTCCTACTCAACCATCACCCAAATGGATAATATAAACGTTCATCTTGTACCTGAGAAAAAAGGATTATTTTTGAAATACTCTGAATACATTGTTACCTCAAGGAGATTCGACAGCAAAGTCACCAGAAGATATAATGACTTCGTGGCTTTGAAAGAATTGTTGCTGAATCGTTTTCCATATAGGTTGGTAATTTTTCAGTACATTTTTCGGTGGAATGCTTTAACATGAATGTTTGCCTGACATTTTTCTCAATGTTAACATCGATAATGAATGTCCTTCTCTTTTTGTTTTTTGTTTCTTTAAATCTCGCATGTTGTTTTGTAGGCTAGTACCGTCACTACCACCCAAAAAAATTGTTTCTGATGCACATTTTTTAGAATCTAGGCGAAGGGCTCTCCACAGGTGGCTAACTTTGGTGAGTAGGCATCCTGTGATATCCTTAGATTCGATGGTACAGTTTTTTCTGACCGACCAAGGTCCCGATTGTCAGTACCGAATCAGGGACATATTCGGCAGGGTACCGGACGAGTTTATGACGTCAGATGTCGCTGCTACTGCAAAGGTAGGTTTATCAGATTGCTGATTAGTATTTACCTATTTATTTACTGTTACTGTTATCTACTGTACATCTTCACAGGAGTTTTATTGTTGTAACAAATTATGGTACATTTCCATTGATGTTTCTGCTTTATACGTCACTTTTTAATATTTCTCCAACCTACCACGTGAACACAATATGTGTATGTATTTGTATTATATTTCATTACATATTTTGAAAAAAACTTTCGGGTGTATATTTGTATTTTGACGTGTAGATTGAAAATCCGGTAAAAAAAAGTTCTGATNTGGGAGACCTTTTGATAATTTTTCACATATATAGCCCCCTTTACGTGGTTATCCGAACCACCCCGGCGTGAATAAAGGGGGCCACTTATTCATCACTTTTTTAGACACTCCACATTTCAATTTTAATACAACACAACACAAAACGGAGCCCCACGATAGCACATGGCATCCGCGTATCTTCTTTGTGAACGGACGTTATCAGCACGTCCGTCCACTACCACGGCCACCACGGAACATCAAAAACACCTTACCTATTTTAAGTATTTTTAAGGTGCAATTGATATTTTTTCTTAAATAAGGGGTTGTTATGTTGATTATCAATAAGTAAAAATGTCAAGACTGCATAACGTTGTGATTTAAAGATAAAAAATAAAGACTGACTGATTATAATGACGTTTTCATAATTTTCCCTCAAAACATAATCCTTGCAAGGAAGTTTCGATTTCGGCCGAAACTGAGACCGTTGCCGAAATTCGGTTTCGGTCGTAAAAACCTGTTTTTATCGGACACTAGTCAAAATAGATAGAACACCCAAATTTTTTTTCTAAATCTCAGGATGCAGCCTGTCCGAAATTTTACCAAACTTTCGATTTGTTGTATTGAATGTCACTCATCTATGAATTCACGAAAAATGTAATAAGATCGGTTGATATATGTTGAAATTGAAGTTTATTTTGAAACGAGCATTCTTGTTTTTAGGAATTGTTACCCCCTGATTATAGTCAATTAGCGGTGAGTTCTCAAAATTTACGAAATCTAGTTAATATAGTCAGTAAAATAAAACACCTGACTGACGAAAACGTGGAACGGTTGACATCTGCTGGGAGAGATTTAGAAGAGCTACTGACCCAAATCAACAATCTTAGTACTATCGATATTGAACAGACTCAAAGCCATCTGGAGGACTGGAGACAGATGCAGAGGGGATTCAGCATCATGTCCAGGTAAACCATAAAGCTACGGTATAGGATAATTCAATGCTCGAAATATTTGAATCTAGGTCTTTTGTTTAAGTTCATTTCAATTGAAGATGAAATAAATGAGAATTAATACACTCACTCAATAATTGAACGTGAGAAATAATTTTTATTCCCATCGGTACCTATTTCAGAAATGCTTTATGTTTTTTATGCTTGAATTGATAACAAAATATACTTAAGTTTTTATGAGTAGGTACACAAGTCGATATCTTTGAGAACCAAAGATCCCAAAGGCTTTTGGTGTGCTATCCGACTTCTGTCTTTAGACATAAGAGAAAGTATTTCACAAGTTGATCGTTTTGACATCTGAAATCACAACTAACTTTTTCTTTTCAAAATTTGTTCCGAGTAATATTTTTCTTCACAGAATCAAAAGTTTATTGCCTAACCCTTACATGAAACCCTATATTCCGGTACTCCTAAGAACCAGAACTTTAAACCTCATCACATGAAACCCAGGCTCTCTAATATCATATTCCATGTCACAAAACTATCAACAAAGACCTATATTCACAAGAGCCCCAATTTCGCACCCTATAACATGAAACCCTGTATTCCTATGACTTGAATCAATCCCAATCAACTCCAAACCTCATAACAGGAAAAATTGGGGTGCCGATCTCCATAACCTCAAAATCCCACACCTACAATCTCATAACACTAAAGCTAAACTCTGAAATCACATATTACTAAATTCCCAACCTATTATTTCATACTTTTAAATCTCAATCTGTAGATGTTTTTTGGATATACTGTCCAGTGTCTCATAATCATTAACTTTCAAAATCAAGAACCCTTTACCCCAAATACAAACCTGCAACTCATCAAACCCAAGAACTTTTGAAATCATAAATCTCTTAACCTCAAAACATCAAGTCATATACACATAAAATTTTGATGCAACTACCATCGTTGATGAACTCTCCAAGCTAATATTCCAAAACTTCAAACACATGAATTTGAATAATCGATCGTATTTGGGATTGAATGATGTTGGTGTTTGGGTATTGTTGGGAGTAATATAGCTTGCAAGAGTTCTGTGACATTCCTTATGGAAAAACACGTGCAAATTTGAGCAGGTCCATTCTGGACCTTTTTGGACCTCCAATCGGAACCCTGTGGAACACCCAACTCAAGGTAGGTGTGACGTTGTCGTTCCCACTTCCCCAATTTTACCGTCATCTAGAAGCTACCGCACGTACAGCGGAAAATTCAAATCAGTAGATGGACTATAGGGATTCTGGGACGGAAGTGGGAAAGACTACGTCACACCTACCTTCAGTTGGTTGTTCCACAAGGTTCCGATTGGAAGTCAAAAAAAGTCCAAAATGGACCTGTTCAAATTTGCACGTGTTTTTCCATTAGGAATGGCATAGAACTCTTGAAGCTATATTACTGTTGGGTTAGAAATTATGGAATTTGGGGGTTCAAGGTTTGAAGGCTTGACATTTGAGATTCAGAGGAAACCGAATTAGGACTAACAACATAACAAAAAATAAACTCTAACCAATCTCAATTGATTATTTTTTTCCAGTCCTCGAATCAGTTCTGATATGCACTTTTTGGTATGTCCTTGAGCTCTCTCATCGAATTAGTTTTTATCTCAATCGCGAAATTTGAACTATCACCTTATTTTTAGAACAGTCCATGTAACATCGAATATAGTAAAAATTAAAAGTATTTTGAGGTTGAACCCTGTTACAGTGCACCAAAAGCCTTCGGGAAGATATCATCTAATGCAAAATTCTACACCATCTTGATTTTTTGAATTGAAATTGATGAAAATTATAATAACATAGTAATAATAATATCTTCATTACTTCCGAACTATAAAAGAAAATCTATTATAAAATTACGTTCAGGCAGCAACATGTGCTAACTATCATTTTTATTGGTCCACAGGACACAATTGTCCAGCAAACTGAGCCACCACGCTTTCTTGGAACAAAATGAGATATGCGAAAAGATAGGCCTACTTCTAGATATCCTAATAGCCCACAAAGATTTGTGCGAAAGATTAGAAAAGGGCCTGCATAATGATCACGCAAGCGCTCTGTCCAAATTGCTGGCTCTGAAGAAGAAGAAAATACAGGGTGTCATCAGAGGAACTGACGTAAGCTCCTCGTAATCACGAATTTCTCCAGTATTTTTTTTTTCTATCGTTTCAGGCCGAAAGTGTGGAACACTTGGAATCGAAGATGTTCACTCAGGAGAACGTTATTACCAACATGGAGCTCAGGGCGGATTTCAGTTTATATTGTGTGCACCAAGAAACGCAGCTGGTGTACGCATATTTGGGAACACTGTCTGATATCATGCAAAGCTTTCTAAAACTCAAAATACTGTCCCATTCCGAGGTGAGTCTTCAATGTTCAGTTCATGTCCCGATATTAATAATAATATAATAATCTTTATTAACGTCATCAAATCTACAAGTGACAAAATAGTCTCATCATACATTACAAAACATCATAAAGCACCAGCGTGGTATTAGCCTGGGAAGTAGTTGTTTTCCGGCAGGCATTTACCAGAACCTACGGTGTAGGAGGGAGAGATGAATGTTTCAAAATATTTTATTTTCTTGTATAAGATATGTAGTCCAATGTGTACTATTTCTTGGCCAGCCAGAAGTCCAGATCATAAACCTATTGACTTTCGCTTCTGAGATTTCATGAACAAGGACGTGTATTCTGTTGAATGTGTATTCAGGAAAATGGAGACCATTTTGAACATTTATTTTAGGGAATATATACCACACATTTATACATATTTTTTGTACCTGCAAATATAGTATTTCCAATACCAATTGGAACAGCACAGAGAAGGAATTCTCGCCTCGACATAGGCGTCGGCATATTATTTTTCAGTGGTAGTTTTTCAGTTACTTATTCTTACAATCATAGCAATT